ACAAGCTGTGTAAACAGAAGGAATTCATTAAGGCTATTATTCAGGATTCAGGATTCACATTTAGAGAGAGAATACAAAGGGAGAATTATTTAGACAGTTTGACAAGCCACCAACCACGTATTGTCTTAAATCACAAAATTTTATATATTTATTAATTCACTGGTTTCTGAAACACTATTGTTTAAATGTTGTTTCAAACTTTTCTTCATCAAGGTGTGTAATTTTAATGCAGAATATAAGAACCTGTAGTAATTTATTACGTTTTTTTTACCTATATATAGTCACATGTTTAGTCCAAAAAAAATATCTGAATCAGCTTAAATAGCCCAACATGTGTGTTACATAATCCTAACACTTGTAACCTCCTCTTCATATCATTAACACTCTCAGAAATATTATACTGACCTCAGTTTCATCCAGGGTAGCTATGTGAAATCATCGGGTGGTGATGGCGCATAGATGCTTACCTGTTGTGGGAGGCCTGGGTTTGATTCCCTCTGTGATCCACCATTGTGTCCCGAGCAAGACCTAGTTGCTCCAGAGGCGTGCGTGTATAGTAATTGTAAGTCGCTTTGGATAAAAGCGTCAGCTAATGAATAATGTAAATCATTGCATAGAAGCTGAATGCTAACATGCCGGTGTTTGGCAGGTATCCTATAATGTTTACAAAATTCTCTCTCTTGGTTTAGCGTGCTAGCATGTGAACGTTTGCTATTGTAGCATGACACAAAGTGTAGCTGAAGCTGATGGTAATGATACCACTTTGCAGGTTTTTGGTCATAAGGGCAGTGATGATGGCACTAGAGCAAAAGTCAGGGGTCTCGACTGTAATGAAATAAACATGAATGTCTGTGTCAACTTTCATGGCAATCCTTCTTAAAGTTGTTGAGGTATTATATGTTATATGTTAGCATGGCTAAAAAAGGAGTGCAAGAAATAGTTATTTTCATTATCACTTAATTTTTTATTATAAATAAATGCCCATCATGATTTCCCAGAACCCAAGAAGTCATGTTTAAATGTCTTGTTTTGTCCAAACAGCAGTATTCAGTTTTAATGCCATAAGACCATTTCTCTTGATAAATGTCTTAATCTAGGGTTGAAACTGTTATATTTATTATATAAATTGGCCTGCTGTATTTTCCAATGTTTATTCAAAAAAAGGCTTGAGTATTGTTTTGTCTTAAGATGGCTTGTTTTGTGCACAAAACACAAACAAAATATAAAATCACACTGGAACCACTGAATGTTCAAACTTTATTACTGAATGCAACCGTTTCTTTAAAAATGGTCCCCAAATCAGCCCAAAGCTAATTTACCACATCATATTTGCATCCTTTACAAATATATTGCTTGTTTGGGTTGATGTCAAGCGTAGCTGCTGTACCATCTGCATGTTGGCATCTATCAAATGACTATTATTTCTCTTTGGCCTGACCATTCATCCATTTACCCATCCATCTGTCCACTTATTTGCATCTACATTTTCTCTCCTCCTTCCTCCACGATATCCCTCTCATCCTCTTGTTAGAGCTGCTGAATTATTTAACATCAGACGGTGGGCTTGGCTGCCGAGCGAGAAGGAGAGAGAGAGCTAGAGAGAACAGAGGCGGGAGGAAAAAATGATGGAGAGAGAAAGGGATGTATGGAGGTGTCCGACGCTGCAGGAAGCCGTGAGTCAGCAGGGAGAGAAAGAACCAGTGGGAGGGAAGACAGAGAGGGTTTATAGATAACTTTAGGTGATACGTCTGCGGAGAGTGGCGTCAAAAGCCTCCAGGTGCGTTTGTGTACGTGCGTGTGCATGCCTATCGATTGAACAGAGAAGGTCACAGAGCCGAAAGGAGATTAGCCAAGTAGACTCAGAGACGCAGAGCTAACGCCTCCCCTGGACAGTAGCTAGACAGAAAACGGAAAGCCAATAAAAGAGAGAGAGAGAGACAGACAAGGCGAAGGACGAGAGGAGCTGCTACAGTATGGGGGAGAGCTACATGTACCAGAAACTCCCCTACACCAGAGGAGAGGAGGAGGGGGAGGATGAGGACGAAGAGGAGCGAGACGGGAGGATCAGAGAAAGTGTCGGGGGACAAATGGTAAAGTCTGAAGTTGTGGGTGGACATGCAATTCTTCTTGTCGCTCTGTAATCAGGGTGTGTGTGTTTGTTGTCAGGAATGTTTTTTTGTGATTGTGTGTGTGATTGTGTGTATGTGTGTTTATGATTGTATGTATGTGTGTTTATGATTGTGTGTTTGTGATTGTGTGTGTTTCTGACTGTTAGTATTGATGGGCTGCAACTCCAGACTATTTCACAACCTGCTTAGCTGACATCACTGCTTGTGTACTGTCTACCAGTTTAGACCAAATTTGTTTTCTTCTTAAAGGCCTTAAATTATCCAGAAATTCCCTATTTTAAAAAAGCAACATTTAGAGGAACATGAAAAAATAATAAAGATAAAAAACAACAACATTTTGTGTAGCATTAATATGTCTGTCTTTGTGAGATTCAACTTGCAACCTCTTCTTTAGATTTCGACACCCGGGTGGGAATCACTGGTTTGGTCTATAAAGTGTTAAAAGACAGATGAAATAAAGCCCATCACGATTTCCCAGGGTCCAAAGTGTCATCTTCAAATGCTTTGTTTCATCTGACCAGCAGTCCAAAACAAAACTGTTAAATTTACAGTGATATAAAACAGCACTACTTTTCAGAGACAGTAATTTAAACAGCAAATGTTTGCCGTTATTGCTTTATGTATGACCTAAATGATTTGTTTTCTGCAGATCAACTAATTGATGGAAGAAACTAATTGTTTCAGCACTAGTTGTTTTTATGTCTTTACCTGTGATGATCACGTACGGAGCTGGGCCGATAAAAATATGTCACATAATTTTAGAAATACTCTCTCAGTTACATAGTTCTTACAGCAGAGAGCACTGACAAGTTTATTTTTCCCCTGTCAAATGTCACGCTTAGTATACTGAACAAAATGATAAACACTTTTGCTCCCATTCATCATGAGCTGAACTCAAAGATCTAAGACTTTCTCTATGTACACAAAAGGCCTATTTCTCTCAAATATTGTTCACAAATCTGTCAAAATCTGTGTTAGTGAGCACTTCTCCTTTCCTGAGATAACCACCTCACAGGTGTGGCATATCAAGATGCTGATCAGACAACATGGGTATTGCACAGGTTTGCCTTAGGCTGGCCACAACAAAAGGCCACTTGAAAATGTGCAGTTTCACTGTATTGGAGGGGTCTAGGGGTCTGGAAACCAGTCAGTATCTGGTGTCACTGTCTACCATCTGCCCTGTACAGTGAAAACTGGGATTCATCCGTGAAGAGGACACCTCTTCAGAGCGCCAGATGCCATCGAATTTGCTCACTCAAGTCAGTTACGACAAACTGCAGTCAGGTCGAAAACCTCAATGAGGACAACGAGCATGTAGATGAGCTTCCCTGAGACAGTTCCTGATAGTTTGTGCAGAAATTCTTTGGTTATGAAACCGATTGTTGCCACAACTGTCCAGTTGGCTGGTCTCAGGCAGTCTTGGAGGTGAAGATGCTGGATGTGGAGGTCCTGGGCTGGTGTCGTTACATGTGGTCTGCGTTGTGAGGACTGTTAGATATACTGCCAAATTCTCTCTGAAACGCCTTGGAGACTTATGGTAGAGACATGAACATTCAATTCACGGGCAACAGCTCTGGACATTCTTGCAGTCAGAATGCCGATTGCACGCTCCCTCAAAAGTTGCGACATCTGTGGCAATATGCTGTGTGATGGAAATGCATTTTTGAGTGGCCTTTTATTGTGGCCAGCCTAAGGCACACCTGTGCAATACCCATGCTGTCTGATCATCTGATATGCCACACCTGTGAGGTGGATGGATTATGTCGGCAAATGAGGAGTACTCACTAACACAGATTTTGACAGATTTGTGAACAATATTTAAGATAAATAGGCCTTTTGTGTACATAGAGAAAGTCTTAAATCTTTGAGTTCAACTCATGATGAATGGGGGCAAAAACAAAAGTGTTTATAATTTTGTTCAGTGTAGACACTGACAACCAAAATCCTCAAAAATGAGGATAATTCTTTTTGATAGGGAACCGACATACAGCTTGGAATATTCTGGGCAGTTTGTTATTTCCTGGTAAATTATTCTCATTCCCACTTAAAGCTTGGCACATCATGTTGAGATGCAGATAGGTGAAAAATGAATGAAGAGTTGACACAAAGTTTTGGTTTGAAGGAATCAACATAAAGCAGAAGTTTGACATTTTGGGGGAAAATGCTTATTTGTTTTTTGGTTAGCTTAGCTTAGCATAAAGACTGGAAACAAGTGGTAATAGCTAGCCTGGTGCTGTCCAAAAGTTAATTAATCCGTCTGTAGAGCTCACTAATTAACATTTCATATCTTGTTTCTTTAATCTATATAAAAACTGACGTGTTAAAAAGAAAAGTTGTGGTGTTATGGAGTTATAGCAGGTAAATGTGTTTTTTTAAGAGGTATTGAGCTGAAGCTGGAGTTACTGCACTCTCACCCATGATTTAGAGTAACTCCTTTGTTTCCACTGCACATTACAGAATGTCCATTAACCTCACACCATCACACTTAATAATTAATCAATGTATGCTAAAATTGTACATATGTACAATGTGTGTGTGTGTGTGTGTGTGTGTGTGTGTGTGCCCACAGATGCAGTGTGAGGAGGGCACCGAGTGGCTGCTGGAGTTGCTGACAGATGTGCAGCTGCAGCAGTACTTACTGCGGATCCGTGATGAGCTCAACGTCACACGACTATCCCACTTCGACTACGTCAAGAATGAAGACCTGGAGAAGATCGGCATGGGACGCCCAGGTACCTCCTGTTTCCATTTTACTCCAGGCAACTATTTGGTAGGAGTGTCTAGTGCATAGTGTTTTAACATAATTGAAAATGTTACAGTGACTCCAATATTAATCTTTTTTTTATCTCCAATTCCCTTAGTATCCCCTAAACATCAGGCTCTATGTTTCATATTCATATTGAAATGTCAAGAATATTTATTTTAGTTATTTCTGTATCACCGGGTTTGAGTTTTGCAGTTCTTGCTGCTAAGTGAAAACAAGAAGTTCACTGAGAAATTCAAGTTTATTAGTGCTCATTGTCCTCAGTAATGATAAGGGGTGCAAACAGTGAGGTTTTTGTTCTCATTATTCTTGCCGTAGAGTTAAAATTCTTTCATCAATTGAATCTTTTAATTCATCTGCATCTTTTTTCCAGAGGTCTTCTGCTCTGTAAAAAGTCAAATGTTGCTACTTTTTTTTTTTCTTAATTTTCTCAAGATCTTATTTTCAAGAACTTGTCCGTTAGGCCACTCGACCTGAATTTTGGCGGGATCATCTTAAAGTTATGCTTAAATCTGTCTGAAAATTGTAAAAAGTAAAATTTTACCTAAATGCTCATAAATCAAAATTAGCTTTTGTATCCACACTTGGAGCATGTGTTCAGATGCTAGGTCTGAGTTTCACTGAGCAGTCCTGGGATTTTGTGCCACTAATGGGCACCACAAATTTGAAAAGTTTATATCTCATAATTGGCTGCATAGATTCATACTAAATTTTGTTCTGTTTGCACGAATTAAGGATCACTACTAAGTTGATGCATACAATTTGCAAATGATTGAATAGAGTTGGCATGGCTTATTACAACAAATTTACATTTATAGTTATTTCTCATTCCAAAGTTTTACATTTTTAAGTTTTAATCTAAGAAAATTGCCCGTACGTAGAGAGCAGGTGGGTTGCAAATTCCACCCACTGCTCAGGCACATATTGCAATGACGATGCTTGGACTTGGATCATTGCCGCTTGCGGCTATATTTCACTTTTCTTAAGTATTTCAAACTTATAAAAATACATTGTTACATATTAGGTGAAAAGCTTTGGAGTGTAGTTGTTGCCCCTTGTTGCATTTGTTTGAAATTCCACCAAATAGACATTTCCCATTTCAACTTTACAAACAGTTTAATTTAAATAACAGTTTGAGAACAAAAGAGGGAATTTGAACTGATAGCAAAGTATCCATCCAAAGTTCAAAATATTATGACATTTGTGTATCAGAAATGTATTTTTTAAAATGTTTCCCTCCCATTAATCAACACTGGACACCTCAGATTTATCATGTGACCCTTTGGAAGGGACCGACCCCTGGGTTGGGAACCACTGGACTTAACTAGCTGTCTTAATAATATATCAGTCACAGAGACTTTTACTTCAGTAAGACTTTGATTACTTGTAATGGAGTATTTTAATTTTTAATTGTGGTATTGGTACTTTTACTTTAGTAAAAGAATAAGAAATACTTCTTCCGTCATTTGCTAATATATAAATCTAAACAAATCTCAGTAAATAATGTGTTCAGTATTTGTGATTTTGTTGGCTCAGGTCAGAGGAGGCTTTGGGAGGCAGTGAAGAGGAGAAGAGCCCTTTATAAACGCAAGTCCTGGATGAGCAAGGTGCAGTACCACAAACACACATACAGTATGTAAAATTTTAAACCAAAGCGGGTCTCACATTCTGACGTTCCAGCGAAACCGGATCAAATTACTGTTACTACATTCACACATGCCGTCTTGCATTTCTTAACATTTATTCTCTGACTCCTTCACACCACTGTTTCACCACCAACTGAACAAAACATTTGACTGCCAAATGAGATAAGTTACACTTTTATTTAAATTTAAAGTCTTCTATTAGATACCTGATCTCCAAGGCTGACAAAATGTGGCTCACACATTTGCAGGGTGACCATGATTGATGTAAGTCTTATGCATCACATGTAATGACAATATATTTTTTTTATTTTAGCAAAACACACAGTATATTTCTGAACAACATATAGTGACAATGCAGCGGTTGCAATATTGTGAAAGTAAACAATAACCTAGCTGCTTTGCCAGTCACAGCCTCAAACAATAAACTGTCCAAATTCATTTACTATAATATTAAAGGCTACATATCGACTAAGGTGATGGGTTATTAATTACATTTACTTAAGGTATATATTACTTTATCTAGTTGTGGTTTTAACAAGCAGGTCCATAAATAAATAAATCAAATCAAAAAATCTTGCTGTTTATGAGCATAAGATGGAAATCATGTCACCGCTTTCTTCTGGGCCCTTGTAGGTGTTTCCAGTGAAACGTCCCGACACTGACCCCCAGCAGCCCGTCCCTCAGGGGGCGTCGTCCAGCGCGGCACCAGCCAGTAGCGAGCCGGGAGCCTCGCTCACCTGCCTGATCAGAGAGTCGGAGCTGCAGCTGTTCGAGCGGCTGGGAGATGGCACGTTCGGGGTGGTACGGAGAGGAGAGTGGACCGGGCCCAACGGCAGAGTGGTGAGATGCAGAGAAAGAAACATGTAACATGCGGTTGAGTGCATGAGTGTTGAGTCTATGAAACGCAAGCTCAGGTTGTATTTCGCCGTGGTTGCTCGGTCCCATTAGAACTCTGAGGGGTAACTTAGCCAATCAGCGCTCAGTCCAAAGGCTGCCTGCGTTTGAATTACAGCAGCTTATTCTGTTGGTTGTAAAGCCGGTGTCGTCTCTCGCTGTGTTTCAAGTTGTCAGTGGCAGTGAAGTGTCTGAAGGCAGGCGTGCTGGATTCAGACGGTCTGGATGATTTCATCAGAGAGGTGAACGCCATGCATTCGCTGAGTCACCAGAACCTCATCCGCCTGTACGGCATCGTCCTCACACAGCCAATGAAGATGGTAAAACACACACACAAATTCTCAAACACACACAGACCACAAAAAGTAGACACCCAAGTAACAAATTGGATATGTAAATAAGGTGAGCATTTTTATTTCCATATTGTGCGTGTTCGTGTGCAGGTGGTTGAGCTGGCCCCTCTGGGTTCCCTGCTGGATCGTCTGAGAAAGCGTCAGGGTCACATCCTCATCTCCTTTCTGTGCAACTACGCTGTGCAGGTCAGTTAAAACCAAAAAACATATATCACACGAGAGGAAGTGAAAGTGATAAATCGCAGTTTCATCAAATATTTGCTGCTGTTTCCTTCCTTTGTCCCTTAGTTTATTCCCAACGAACCCCTCAATCTGCTTCCACAGTGTCTGAATTTATTTATACTGTGGATGTTTCTAATTAATTTAAAATACTGTTTTTTTAATCATGCTGCAAATGACAAAATATTCTGGTGCATTGTTATATTAAGTCATCCAGCAGAACATGAAGCTTTGTTCTAAAACATTAGTCAAAGTCAAGACAAACCAGTAAAGCAGCATTTTAATGATTCATAGTAAGGCAAGGCAAGTTTATTTGTATAACACATTTTAACAGCAAGGTAATTCAAAGTGCTTTACATAAAACATAAAGGCAACATAAAATATAATAAAAGTTACAGTGTTACAATCAGGGTTAAAAGAGTTAAATGGAAAATAAAAACAGGCTGAGGGGTTGAGCAAATAATTGAGCTACAGTTATTTTGAAAAGAGAATAAACAGAGAAGTACACTTAATCTACTCTCTCTAGCTAGTCTGTACTCGGGTCCACAGCAATCTTTGGGTCCACTGAAACTCCAAAAACCCTCGGACACTACAGAGAAACCAGGACATGTCTGTCAGCAGGCCACTTTGATCCAGTTATACTCTAGACCCACCTGCGCGTTTACAGGTGGACAGAGGTTCCTGCAAATCACTCGAGCGCGAGATTTAAGACCACTTCCTTCACTCTGTTCAATCTCACTCCCATAATCCCCTAACTCAATTACCTACTCGTTTCTCACAGTGTAACTATTTAATTAAAAGCAATGATAAAAAGCTAAAAACAAAGAAAAAGAAAACAGGACAATAAAAGTTGTCTAAAAAATCTTAAAATTTAATTAAAAGCAATGGTAAAAAGAAAAGTCTTCAGTCTTAATTTAAAAGAACTGACAGTTTCAGCAGAAACTGACTGTTTCAGCAGAAGTAAAGTTAGTAAAGTATAGAAATTGTAAATTATACTTTGCTGTTCCTTATCAGCAAGAGTAGTATTTTTAACAACCGTGACAGGATACTTTGCTCTGATCCGTCAGTCCCTGTCTTTAGAATGGTGGACGGAGGATTTAGATCCTTTACTGAAGTAAAAGTAGCAAAACAATGTGATAATTCACTACAAGTAAAAGTCCTAGTAGTCAAAAACAATATTAAAAGTTAAAGTACATATTCTGCAGTAAATGTTGTGTTTAGCTATTACATCTGATGTTTCTGGATTAATATTACTGCTGCAGTAATATGCATGTTTCATTTTACTGCTGTAGAGGTTTGAGGTTGAGCGTTGCTGTCCTGTGAGAACCATGTATCTCTAAAAAACTCAACTTTCAGCTTTGTGGCGATGCATTCTCCAGCTGACCCCAGGGGGGTTTAAATTGTTTATTTATCTTAAGGAGTAGGATCATTTTCTCATCCATTAAAAAAAACACTTAACCCTCCAGTTTATCACAAACATTCAAATTCAAAATCACATTTGTAGATACGTGGTTTCTTTTGAGAGGACGGGTTATGAAAAATTGTAATCTGAAAAGTAAAATATTTGCCTCTGAGATATAGAAGAGTAGAAGTAGAAATTTGCATAAAATGGAAATACGTTTAATTAGTCCTTTAATAAAGTATTTGTGTAAATATACTTTGTTACATTCCACCACTTTTTCTTTCTGATATTTCCTTTCACTAGTGAAGCACAAATGTTGGAACCACCCTTCACTTCACATGAACCTCACAAGTTTGTTACCATGTGTGTTTGTGTATGTGTGTGTAGGTGGCGTGCGGCATGGCCTACCTGGAGCAGAGGCGTTTCCTCCACAGGGACCTGGCTGCACGTAACGTTCTGCTGTCCACCAATGAAACAGTGAAGATCGGAGACTTTGGCCTGATGAGGGCGCTGCCAACACACACCGACCAATACATCATGGAGGAGGGCCACAAAATCCCTTTCCCGTGGTGAGAAGAGCGTCCTGGTTGCACAAAATGAGTAGTTTTTTAGCCTGGTTTTCGGACCTCGGTGATTCAAACTGTTCTGGTGTTGCTCTCCATCGTTTTCCTTTCTCTCACTCACTCTGTCTTCTTCCTTTCCTCTCTCCAGGTGTGCTCCGGAGTCTCTGAAGTCTCGCACTTTCTCCCACGCGTCTGACACCTGGATGTTTGGGGTCACACTGTGGGAGATGTTCACCCACGGACAGGAGCCGTGGCTGGGCCTTAATGGGAGCCAGGTGCACACACATCTTTCCTATGGGATTTTCTACTTTGCTATTAAAGGAATCCATTTTTTGGATAACATTTTCTTTAAAACAGTAAACCACAAAACAATTGCAGCTTCTTACAAAAATATTCACCAGCTATTAATTGTTCCTCAGCATTCTGTTATTTGTGTGTCTGTGTGCAGATTCTCCACAAGGTGGACGTGGAGGCAGAGAGGCTGTGTAAACCAGACGACTGTCCTCAGGACATTTACAACGTCATGCTGCAGTGCTGGAGCCCCAAACCCGAGGACAGGCCGACCTTTGTCGCCCTCAGAGACTTCCTGCTCGAGGTAGCACACTAGTTTTAGTCAAAAGGCAACTGAATGAAGGCTTGTAGTTACATCATCTTTCAGTAAAAATGTCCAAAACAGAGACAAAACAGGTGAACACTGTAAGAGAGGCAGCACAAATGTTACTGTGGCATAAACTGAGTACAATAACTTTAAAGGTGAGTGTGATTTGAAAGATGCATTCAGAAATGTAGTAATTAAAGGGAAATTCTGAATTCCTATTCAAAACCATGTATACTAAAGCAACACGAGCCTCCGGCTTTATGGCAAGTTGCCCCAGAAAAGCAGCTAGCGAGCTAAAATGGCTATTAGGGGACTAATTTCTGTGTACTTTTGTTTGGACGAGAGAAGCGTTGGAAATTATTTATGTACATATTGTGTAGCTGTTCAGATTGAATTTTCCTTTAAGATGGTAGACCAGATTATTTTAGATAAGAAGCATCAGACAGCTTGTTCTGCCAGATTTTTGTTAGTTTGCAATTTAGCATGTTTTTTAGCAATTCAACATGTGCTTCAGTTAGTGGATTGTTTTTCAATAGAGCCGTTGTTGTTAGCTGATACATACTGTATATCAAAGCTGACATTATTTAAACACAAGTGACAGAGCAATGACCAGTTTCACAAACAGCATAGAAATGAACCACGTTTATACAGATTTTCTTTCCTAAAGACAAGAACCCACAGTGTTATTATTGTGACTGTATGAAAGAAATATAAGTTCTCTGAACATGAAAATCTTGTATATCCACAGAGATCGGACTTATTCAAAAAGAAAAAACCCAGATCAAGTGAACCACTCAGATTAATTGTGCTCTGAATAGCTTTGAGCTAATTTGTCACCAAAGTGGAGCGGCAGGCAAATAAAGGACAATAGAGGGGATAAGCAAGTGGAAACAAATAAATCTCCATTATACAAAATGACATGAAGTATTTTTCTTCCGTTTGACTCCATGACCCTGCTGATGACAGTGATAACTCATCAGCGTTTTTAACCAAACTGTAAGTGTGTGTGTGTGTGTGTGCTCTGCAGACCATGCCTACAGATATGAGAGCGCTGCAGGACTTTGAGGAGGAAGGCAAGCTCCAGATTAAAATGAACGACATCATCACCATAATAGAGGGGAGGTCAGTGTGTAGAAAATTGTCACAATCCTTCAACTTGTTATTTAATTATTGCACAAAAAGTTTTTTATCATTTTAACAAAATTCTTGAAGAAGTCATGCTCGAGTGTGTCAGCGCAGGATGAAGGAACACATACACAAGTTGGATTCCTTACATTTGGAAAATTACTCTAATTACTGTCCTGTTACTGGTTCATTATAGAAATATTGTGGCGTCTGCTGATTTGACAGACTCACATTTGTTTAGTCTGAATTTCCGCTGTCAGTTATACGTTAAGTGGATTCATGTGGCAGACTGCAGGAAAGTCACATTATTGTTGAATGGTATTCTGCTAGTAGTTTAGTTTTAGTTTATAAAATGTATTTATATCAGGGATGATATACAAAATACGTAAATCTCAAAAAGAGATGCTTTGTACCAGATTTAGGTACCAGCTAATTTCCATCTGCAGTCCTTTAGTAGGAGACAGGTCATTCCACTACTGATGGACCAACAACCTTTCGATACCCACACACACACAGGAATAAACACTAAACAGAACACATCTGTGCAGGATTTCAAATTGACAGGGAGCTTATTCTATTCTTTAATGGCTTTAAAAGAAAAGACAGATTGTGCAAAGGTGGAGTGCCTTTTAGGGACGCTACACTCTTCCCTCATTTGCTCAGAGCGGGGTTGTTATGTGTGTTTTCAGGGCAGAGCACTACTGGTGGCGAGGTCAGAACAGGGGGACGCTGCGTGTCGGCCAGTTCCCTCGTCACGTGGTGACGTCTGTCGCCGGTCTCTCCGCACACGACATCAGCCATCCGCTCAAACACTCCTTCATCCACACTGGACACGGAGACACGGACCCTCACAGGAGCTGGGGACATGCAGATCGCATCGACAGGTTAATAACACTCAGTAACTGAAGACTTTAGTTTTATTCTTACAGTGTGAAAGTAAACAGCTTTTATACTAAGGTTCATTTTAAGATGAGATAAACCTCTGTCGATCCCCAGAAGTGAAATCCAGGTGTTGCAGTAGCACAAGAACGGAGCATGCACAGATAAATAGAGTAAAAAATACATAATTAGAAGAATATAAAATAAAATCCAAGGCAACTGGAGTTGATACTGAAGATACTCAAAGACATTGCGCCTCTCTCCGGTGGGTCAGGCAGAACTGACGAAGCCTCTTGGACGAGAGGCGAAACGCCTTCGAGTGCCTTCAACCGAGGCCAGTTGCCTCTGATTATAACCCGTCTTGGATTACTATGACCTGGATTGCTGAGAATCTTTACAGACATTTTTATAAAATAAAATGAGAATAGAAATAAAAAAGCAATTAAACTCAAAATTACAGTACAAGCAGTATACAGACAGTGTACTAATACTGCAGTATTGTCTCCGGTGAAGTGACAGTGATGGATTAAAAGTAAATATACTTTTTTGAAATTTGATGTACTACATCATGTAATAAAACAGTGTACAAGTATAAGAAAATTTAAATACTCAAGTAAAGACCAAGTACCTCAAAATTGTTCTTTAGTACAGTACTTGAGTAAATGTACGTAAGTTACTTTCAACTGTTTAAGTGATGCTTACATGTAAATGCATCATTAAATGTAATACAGTGATACATATTCTTCTGAAAAGGCTCATTCTGCATAATAAGGACTTTAAGTATTTTATATTTTATATATATTTTATACTTTGATGCCAATTTACTTGAGTAAAATTTTGGATGCAGGACTCTTCTGTTACTTCTGCTTAAGCAAATGAGTACTCCTTCTTCCATCTCTGTCCACTGGAGTGCAGCATCGCATCACTCCTCGTTCACCAACAGATGTTGTACTTGTTTTTTTCAGAACTCGCTTATATCCAGAGAAACTCACAGCTGCTGCAAGAATATAAGAATATAATCAATTCCATTTTTACCATCAGCAATTACAGAACCAAAGTGTTTACGACCCTTGTTTGTTACGGCTGCTCTCTCCATGTTCCGTTTCTGCCCTAGTTCTGCCTCGGAAGTACTTCAGCTGATTGCTGAATGAGGTCCACCTGGCCTTAGAAGGCGGTCTTTAAAAGTGCCTGTACAAGCATTAGAAAGGAGGCTTTTTGATTTGTGACTGCTGGTCTCTCTACCTTTCAGCTGGGGCATTTTTATGTTATGTTTTTGGTGTTTTTAATTTATTGTCTTGTTATGTTAATAAATTCCCTTGATTTGGTTGTTTTAAAGGTGTTTGTGTGTTAAGTTTGGGTCAGCGTTGGGGTTGCCCCATGTTGCCACCAAAGGGCGGGGCATAACATGTTAAAGAAATAATCTGTTCAGTTACTTCTTGGCCCATTGGCTACTTCTTTCCGTTAAATCTAATATACTTCTCGTCGTCTCCCTTTCAGTCTGTATTTGGGGAATCCCATGGACCCACCTGATGTCCTTGGGATAGACTCGGGCATCTCGAGGCCGACCAAACTCCCCAACCGTGCCAAGAGTAAACTTCTCCAAAAGTTTAAACACATATGTTTATGTACAGTGTTTGTAAATGATCATGTAGAAAACTGAGCTCATTCTTTCTCTTTATCAGAGCAACCTCCTCCTCGTCCGCCTCAGCCGGCCGTTCTGCTGAAGAGTAAGTTTATTTCTTCTTACCCTGTCCTCTCTAAAGTCTGCAGTCCCGCATTTAAAAACAACGCTATTGTTATTTCCTGACTCTGGTGTTTGCATGTGTGTCCAGAGCCGTTCTACGACTCTGTGATGGACGATGACGAAGACGATGACGACCTCAGTGCCTCGTCTGGGCTGAAGAGGCTGGGAGTGTCCCTGGGTCTGAAGCTCCGGCCGTGGGAGGGGTCCGGGATGCGCACGGCCAAAAGCGAGGTGTCGCTCATCGACTTCACCGATGACAGCTTCAGCTCGACCACGCCCTCGCCGCTCACTGAGACGAGGCAGCCAGATGAGGACACACTGAAGGTACAGTTACGAGAGTGAAAGTAGTCTGACCTGTCACAGAAAAATGTGAAATTACTAAGAAGCATAAAAGCTGCCTGATGATATGATGATGGTGGAAGAGCATTTGTAAGCAATTTAAACAAAATAAAGTCAAATTACATTTTGATTTGCTTCAGTTTTGATACCAAGATGATGTGGTATTTATAAATAAATCTTTGAAGTAGTGGGAGACTCTTGGGGGACCGCGATGACCTGCAAGGCGAAATAGACAAATGAAAGTGTTGGTACGCTTGTTCAGAATCAGCTTTATTGGCCAAGTATGTGTACACGTAAAAGGAGTTTGACTCCAGTTTAAAGTTGCTCTCAATTTACTTACACAGAAATAAACATTAAGCTAAACAAAAGGACATAAAAGCTGAACAAATATAGTTATAAACATTTAACTACAATATAAACATAATAATTTATATACATGATATAGCTACAACGTTTGCTTGTATATATTTTTGTCTACAGCATGCTTAGATTTGTATTTGCAGTGGTGATGATGATACTGATCTGTGTGAATGTGTATAAACTATAAAATATATAATAAACTTGCAGTGGATGTTTTAGTGTTACGGTGTTATTTCACAGGGATTGTTTTCTGACACTATATGAGTGATGAGTTAATTGTTCATCAGAGTGATGCCGTATGGAAAGAAACTTTTGTCTAGTTTTTGGTAGCCTTGCCAGCAAACTAATTTACTTGATCTCTAAGAAGTTAGAACATGGTGCACAACTGTCGCTGTAAAAATTAGTAAAACTCTACAGAAAAGGCAAAACAAGGTAAAACTTGTTCATTCAGGTTGAACAATTCACCACGAGCACAGAAGAAAACACAGCTCCTATAAAACTTACCAGCACAACTGTAACTTAGTTTAAAAAAAAAACTAAAACCATTCATTGCCTTCAGTCCTCTCCATCCTGCCTCGGGTCTGAACTAACAGAGACCGTTCGTCTTGCTCATGGACTCACCTGTTTTGTTGAACTGTGACATTTTCCCATGAAAGTCTAGGCTTTATGGGAAATGGTGTTCGTTAAAGGCAACTAAAAAAGAGAACTATTAAATAAACAATACTAGAAGAACTACCCTCCTTATCTAAACATAAAAAGCGATCCACATGACATACAAACATGACAGAAAGGCTCTGTGCAAGGATTTTAAATGATCAGTGTTTTTACAAATGTCAGTGAGACTTTGAATGACATTTTTTAACTTCTGAAACAGAAGCCAGCAGCTCATTTTTTCACTCTGCTTTTCCAATGTCGATCGCTTTCATCCTCAGGACACTCCGTCCATCCTGGACTGGCCCCTTCCTCAGCCAGCTTACGACGAGGTTACCGCGGAGCTCGAGGACCAATCAGAGGACCAGGAGGTGCGGTCTATCAACAAGGGATTGACTGAAGAGACCGCGGTAACGCCCGGCGCCACCATGGCAGGCAGGAGCGAGTCGCAGTCAGCTGACCTCTTCCAAGAACTGCAGAGAGAGGTGGAGAAAGTAAACGCGTGGATGATCAACACATACAGACACGTGTGTATGTATCTATGCTGATTTTTCTGTCTCTCTTTGTGAGTGTAGGTGATGGTGAAGCTGCAGGTTCCCATGGCAACGGGCCGCTCCCTCCCCTCCTCCCCTCTCCCGTTGCCCCTGGCTCCTTTGGGCCCCCACCGACAGATCTGTCTGCCTCCTCCTTCCCCTTCATCCACCTCCACCTGCTCCTTCGCCTCCTGCTTTGAGGACCGCCCGGTGTTGCCTCCTCGCAGCCCCGTCCCCCCGCTGCGTCCCTCTAGGCACAATCTCTCCACCCGCACCAACCACCCGCAGGCGCGCTCCAGCTCCATCTCCCTGGGTGACCCAGAAGACACGCCTCCACAGATCCCACCCAGAGACCACGCCTTCTCTCAGCCGGGCTCCCGCTCCTCCTCTCCCCTCCCACTGGTGCCGCCACTCTCTTCCTCCCCCGTGACCCTGCCCCCTCCTCCCCTCTCCGTCTCCCCACGCCGGGCGTCCGGACTCCTGGGTCCCCTTCTGTCCTCCAACTCGTCCACCTCCTCCCTGCCTCAAGTCACATCGCATTCCTCACGGCTCGCAGCTCGTGGTTCCTCCTACGCATCCAGCTCGTTACTGGATCCTTTGGCCTACCGTGAGGGGCGTGGCCTTTCCTCACTGATTGACAGCCCCCAGAGCTCTGCTCCCACCCCGCTGCCTGAACGCCCAGCTTTTCTGGAAAGGTGTGTTACTGATATCAAATATCATTTACTCTCTACCACTCTAATTATTAGGATAAAGGGAATTTTATAATCTTTAATAAAATATGTTTATTGACATTTCAACAATCTTGTTTAGTATCATAAATATCTAAATGCTTAGCCAACTTTGACCCTATTCTGTTTTACTTTATTTTAAATTTTTTGTTTACTGTATTTATGTATTATGATGTTTGTTAATATTTCCATGTGTCCTTATCTTATCCTCTATTGTTTTAAATACAATGTGGTGAAGCCAAAAATTATTTTCCATAACATGGACAGTAAAGTCCCTAATCAACTAAATTGCATGAATAGTTCAACAGTAGTTCAGCATTTTGGGAAATACAATCATTCACTAGCTAACGTTAGTTTCCTACCTTACCAAACATCTAGCTTTGTTAGCTGGCAATTTATCATGAAAATTGTGCCCTATGAGCTACAATAACTCACGGAGCTACTCTCCGTGTTCACTTTCATTTGGACTTAAAGAGAAAAGTCTTTGATTAATTTCAATTCAAATGAATAAACTTTCCCTTAAGTGTAACCTTAGTTTTCCTTGTTTCAAAGTCCTTTTTGACAAAGACAATGATTAGGGACTTGGGCTAAATAGAGTCTTGAATAGATTGTTCCTAAAATCCTAGAAACACTAAAAGAAGGTGACACAGTACCACAGTTTCAAAATGAAAGCTCACGTAGCACCCAGAGGTGAGAAAGTGCCGTTTGACTGACAGCCTGACTGAAGTTTAAGCCAACTTGTTAAGTTTGTGTTGCACAGTCTGAGGTCACCTCAGATATTTTCAGTGTGTATCTCTTCTCTCTTTTATTTGAGGTTGCTATACATAGCAATTTATTTAGTTTTTTGGGATTCCAGCAGTTCCTAATCTTCCTGTGGTCCTTACAGTAAAACAAAATTCACATCAGCGTTATTTGCACAATAATAAGAGATAAATAAAACACATGGAATAATATATAAATTGGAAACAAAATTAAAACTACAACATATAATTCTACGAAGAGAAATAAATGAAAAAGTGATTAAACCTATTTTTATAACCACAATGTAAAACACTGAACTCAAATTGTGACCAAAGTCGAGTTTGATGTAAATTTTAAGTCTTTTCTTTTACAGTCTTTGTATAAAATTTTAATGTAATATTATAATAGACTCTTAAGTCTGATTCTTATTCACTTATTATAATTAACAGCTATTTTAAACCCATTTTAAATTTCTTTGTATAGCTTTTTTTTTTACCAAGATTTAAAAAAATAACTTTAGTTTCAAATTTCATTCTTGACCTTGAAAGTTCACAAAAGAATCTCACATTAAGTCTGAAGAAACTGGCAGATATAAACCTGGAAGTACGACTCAGAGACAGACAATATATAAATAAAGTTCAGTGTACAGAATACCGGGTTTGCAGGTCAGGGAGAAACAAGAACAGAATAATGCTGGATAGTTAGGCTGAAGACACTCGACAGCCTGGCAGGGAGCAATTGAAAGGGGCTGGAGTTTATTCTGAGGAATAGTCGGGGGAAATGAGCTACAGGTGAAGAGATATGCAGGAATAACCAGGTGAAGGGAACTGACATCAACTCATTATTATCATGTTGTGAAAACTTTGATTCAGTATTTAAATGAAAGTGCAGTTTTCATTCAAAGTCGTTTTAATCTTTTACAACATTACTTTATAGTAATGCAAACCATATTTTGTATCTGCGGTTTTCTAATCAGATACGGCGCAGCCAACATGGCGGCAGTCAAACCCATGATGCAGCAGCCCGGTGGAGCCAAACCAAACTCCTCCTACAACAACAACAACGGGCGAACTGCAGCTCCCAGCGTGCAACAGGAGCAGAGCATCACACAGGTAAGCGAGAGGAAAATCAAATGCACACGTGGTATTTCCACCTCTCTTTTCCTCTTTATTTAATCACATTGTATTTCTTTTTTTTGTGGCCAAAATGGGTTTCCTGAGGCGGATGGCTGGTGTCTCCCTTAGAGATAGGGTGAGAAGCTCGGCCATCCGCGAGGAGCTCACAATAGAGCCGCTGCTCCTTTGCGTTGAGAGTAGCCAGTTGAGGTGGTTTGGGCATCTGGTAAGGATGCCTCCTGGACGCCTCCCTAGGGAGGTGTTCCAGGCACGTCAAGCTGGGAGGAGGCCTCAGGGAAGACCCAGGACTAGGTGGAGAGATTATCTCCACCCTGGCCTGGGAAAGCTTCGGGATCCCCCAGTCAGAGCTGGTTAATGTGGCTCGGGAAAGAGAAGTTTGGGGTTCCCTGCTGGAGCTGCTCCCCCTGCGACCTGATCTCGGATAAGCGGATGAAGATGGATGGATGGATGTCTGGATGTCTTCCTTTGGCATTTAAAGACTTAGTACTGATTAATAAATTAATATGTGAATATATGTATTGTCCACATCAACAAAAACAATACATATATTCACATATTAATTTATTAATCAGTACTAAGTCTTTAAATGCCAAAGGAAGACAAATAATGATTTTCCTTTTCAATTAAATCCACAAAAAGCTTTTAACAGGAAATTCTACTTGATCTCTTGTTCCTTTACTGTCTGGATGGATGATATGTTGATTTAGACATAAAGACAAATTCTTAACTTTATTACGAGTTTCATCATAGTTTGTGTATCTGTATTTGGGTGGGGGGTAAACTTTGCAGTCCTGTCGGGTAATTTGTAAATCTTTTGCACTTGATGATGAACTGCAAATTAGATTTGTTGTGAAAGTGACTGAGTAAGTTTAACATTAAAACTGTTAAATGCTTTTTATAGAGAACATTTTCTGCTTCTGAGACTATTCAGGGTGACATTTATTTTAATTTTAATAAGTTGTGACTTTTGCATATCTGTCAGCCTGACGACGGTTGTCTGTGAAGAATACTGATGTGCAAAAGATCAGAAGCAAATCACGACACACCAGCAGGCGTCTGTCTGTCTCTTAAACAGCCTGTATAAAGAAATAATTTTACATTTGATATCATCTTCAGTTGTCATTCCTGCTTGTGAATACTGATCATGGAACATTTCTACTTTTACCACTGATTCACCATTATTGAAAATACAAACAATCCACAGGTCCAGTCATGTTACTTTTCACTTTCATCCTCCATTCATTGTAAGTTCATGGTATGATTGACAGGTCCAAGGAGCAGTTCACGGTGTCACGCTGGAGGAGTGTCAGGCAGCTCTGCAGAGTCACAACTGGAGCATCCCTCAGGCCATAAATCATTTGAAGGTGCACGTCTGTCATACTTTTTCCATTTTTAAATTACTTTCTTAGCCTTGAAGACTAAACTCCGTCTGTTGTATGTCCTCAAGAAGATGTTGTCATCAGGTACACTAAAACAAAAAAGCGAAATAACATTGGCTACAAAGTTTCTCCTGTGATTTTTAAGGTTATTTTACAGAAGTAATGCTTTTCTTTCATGCGGAAATACTTCGGTCACCGTAAATTAAATTTCATATTAAACACAGAAGCCCCAGACGATGGAGTAGGTTTAGCCAAGAATTCCCAGGAAATAATGTGGATCTCAATTCCTGGTGACACATTCCACAATGGCAGAGCATTGGCCAACAACAGTAGATGATACAAAAAATAGATTGAGTGGGGGAAGGTATGCAAGTATGCAATTTGACAGGTAGGGATGAAACGATTACTTTTTTAATGGTAAACGATGGTAGAATTCCTGACGGTTATTATCACCGTACACATTACCATGATAACCGGGTACGGTTAACCGCGTTATTATAACCTCACTGCAAACACTGTCCAGCGTCTCCCAGAAGCAGAATGCAACGTGGGTTTGTTTGGGTCAACGACGGCGGAAGACAACGCTGCAGAGATTTTCCAGTCGCTCTGAAGTCCGGTCGTATTTTGGTTTGTTTGAGAGCGCTGAAACTTGATTGAAGAAAATCGTCAGTGTTGCTGCTCTTGTAAAAACGCTACACGTTGTTCTGCTGCTGAGTGTGTCGGCAGAGTCTATTCGTCCACTGCACATGATAACGCGTTGCGCAGTTTTGTCAACCAACCAGCATCAGTTAGAAACGCTACAGAGTCCGCTGTATTTCTGTCAGTTTTTGGGCTCATTGCAGTTACTATCACTGTCTTCTAAAGACTTATGTGTTTTCATGTAATTATGCACGGGGTCATTGTATTACCTAGGCTATAAAATATAAATGTTGATAGTGCACATTTTCATGTGTTTACAGAAGGTATTTGCTTCTTATTTATTTTTTATGCAGACAAACTGGCAATTGTATTTGTAGTTTTCAATATAAAACTTGTTGAAATGGTTTCAGTGTGTGTATCAGTACATTTTAATATTTTTTGGCACATTTTTACAATACCGTGATAATACTGATAACCGTGATAATTTTGGTCACTATAATCGTGATATGAAATTTTCATACAGGACAGTCTTTTATTGCAGCAGTATGCATTTTATTTTGGCGGTGTGGCTCTGCTCATGTGATGCACTGGAGGAGATCTGAACGGGCTTGACACAGAGATACACAACATTTATTGAGCAATAAAGACGTATGCAAAAGAAATATTCAAAATGTACAAACGACTAAATGTTAGGACACATGTAGGCTGTGCAGCAGTGGTGGAATGTAACTATACATAAGTTGTGTACTTAAGTAGAAATGTTATGCAACTCTATTCTTCTACTCTACTACATTTCAGAGGCAAATATTGTACATTTTACTACAATTGTACATTTCAGATTACAGTTCCCTCATTACTTCATTGCTTGAGAAAATTCTACTACTTAACTAACTATTTTAAAATCTCCCCTTGGATCAGCGAGATAATGCATCGTCACAAGAATACAAAACAGGCAGGAATATTTTTCATGGTTTGCCAAGCGTAGACACACAGCGATACAGGAGATCGGATCCAGAATGCACCAGATGAAGCAGATGAAGTTTGTAGTATTTATTAAGAAAATGACAGAACAAAAGGGTGAATAAGCTCAGAGTTGTGGCAGACCAAGGTCAAAACTGAAGTACAGTACCAACAAAAGACAAACAATCCAAATCCGATAGGCAGGCAATCCACAATCCATAATCCAAAAGACAGGAAACACAGAACGAATGAATAAATCACAAGACAAAAACACAATCAAAAAAATACAATCAAATGTAGAGAAAGGGAAAACACAAAAGACTGAAAGTGATTTAAACACAGACACAAGAGGAAGGGTTTAACAAACCTATAAGGTAGATTTATCATTTTACAACAAAGGGTTGTATAACGAGATTGAGTTGTAATTCCCTTTATGCTACTCACAACAAGCAAACACATTATATACAGTAGATGGTTGGATAAATAACAAGTTAGAAATAGAAATAAAAGTATTTTACATGGTGCAGTGCTGAGGATGAACTGAGGAGTCTCAGTGAACAGACTGTGGCTAGGGTGAAGGAAAACAACAGGAAACAGTACTAAACCTAAAACCATGACAATATTCATCCAAACACATTATGTATAATAGTAAAACACTGACAGCGACCATTTTACTGCATAATGAGTACTTGTATTTTTGAAGCTACTTTGTGTTTCACTGACTTTACTTGTAGATGGAGAGGTGGAGGAAGTTAAACTTATGTTGATTATGTATTGTGAGAGATACTACAGGTTGTGGACATACATGATTGGAGGATGAATGGAATATTTTACCATAAAATTACTTCTGTGCCTGCCCGAACTATTGCAAGGCTCCATTCTTGAACTTCTGCCACTACCCAGATGCTTAAAACGTGTTGAAGTAGAATAAAATCAGCTACAACATGTTCAGGAAATAAAAATACATAAAACACAAATTAAAAAAAATTGCCTACCTTCCTGCGTAAAATGCCTCTTGTCACCGTCTGTATTGTAGGTGGAGCAGTTGTTTTGTCTGGGTCTGCGGTCGAGAGCCGAGTGTGAGGAGCTTCTGCAGCGCTGCCGCTGGAACCTGGAGGAGGCCAGCACGCTCATGCTGGACACATACGGACCACATCGAAGCATGTAAGAAAAACTAAACTGGTAAAAAGATAAACAACAGTCTATAGGCTCTAATTTATATTATTTAGTAGTAAGTCTGCAAAACAGAAACTATGCCAGTTGGTACTGTACAGTATGCAGCTGCTGTTTACTCTGTAATGTGTATATATAGTGTATATGGCCCGGGAATTCCTCATTGCATTGGACTCTGTTTTTGTTTTAATGTGCTGCTGAGTTTTAAAAACATAACAATGCAGCGACAGTTACAAAACCCTCCAGAGTTTCTCTGACAACAAAACCACATATGGGATGGCGATGTCACTCCATCTGCTCTCCTTCCCATCTGCTTGTTTGTCTGGTGCTCTTGTCAATGTTAAGACGCCCAGTCTGAGTGCCCACATGCTGTGAGAGCTCCTCTGAGAAGTTTTGCTCTTAAATTAAACTGATTTGTCTATATTTAAGTCAGTTTAGTGGTTGTCATGTGTGATGTTTCTTTGAAATAGTGATTAGACAAGTGGGACTCAAAACAAGTACGGTGTGCCTCAGTTTCCGAACTACTTTATTTTCCTTATATTCGCTTTTCATTATCTGTAAACATGTTTATTTATCAATCAAGTTTATCTGTCACATGTAATCATATAGCTGTAGCCCACGACCTCGGTGGTTCGATCCCCGGCTTCTCCAGTCTGCATGTCGAAGTATCCTTGGCAAATTGCTCCCGATGGCTGTACCATTGGTGTATGATTGCAGATGCATACTTTTATTTACGAAACAATTAGCTAAATAATGCAAAAAATTAACAATCTCTGTAAAGCTGAGGGGATCAGTAGAGTAATCATTTCCTGTGGGTACATCGTGACCTGCGAACCTTGTCTCACTGAAATTTGTTCCATTGTTAATACAGAAAATCTGTCTTAAATCTGGATGGAAAAATCTGAACTGTTTCACAAACATCTCGTTAGAGGGTTTGCAGTCACATCTCTGTCTCAATCTGTCTCTCAGGAAGTGACAGCAGGAGGACACGCTGAGCGTCAATCGACTGTTGAAGAGCTCCTTTGGATCAACACGTCCGTAATGGATGACTCACCACTCCATGGACTCGAGACACAGTGATGCTTTTTAATGAATTGAGGGACATAAGGCAGTATATGTGCCTCACAATGTACTGTGAATATAACTACCTGTGTCATACACATGCATGGTCATATTAGCAAACAGCAGCGTGTTGAATGAGTCACACCATTTACTTGAACAATTGCTATTTATGCTTTTGTATTATTATATAATGTTGGGAATTTATGTTTCTGGTCTGCTGTGAATGCATGCATGTTCAGGTGTGTGAGTGTGTGTGTGTGTGTTCATAAGCTTTTACATTTATTTACAAACACTGTAAATGCCCATGCCTTTTTGCTGTTATTGAAAAGATATAAAATCAGGGAAATGTCTGCTGACGTAATAGCTGTACTTGTATGTTTTTATGAAGATGTACAGATAAGATTTGTGTGTGTATATAGCACTTTAATGAGTGTGTCGACACACAAGCGGATATTTTTTAACTGCTGGTCAGAAGATGATAGACGACTTATCTAGTCGGTGAAGTGAATAAGATACTGAAAGGACTGATAGCAAATTAAGTATTATCAATGTATCATTTGTGTTTCAAACAAAGCTTTTCTAGGCTTTATAAAGGCTTTTATTGTGAAATGGTTAATGGATCGACATTTGTAGTTCAGGTTTTCTTGCCAAAACAAAATTGTGAAGAGATCTACCATTTCCTCATGAATACAGGGTATTAGGCTGAGTTGAACCTCTGAAAATAAGATATTTAATGAACCTAAAATGGATGTGTAGTATTTCTTCCTATAACAATTACCGCTGCATGATAATCATAAACACATGCTGAAGCCTTTGCTGTCATTCAGTGTGCTTGTGTGCTTAGCGCTGCAGCTAGTGGTTCTAGAGAACTTGATAGTGTGTATGTCGGCGCATAGATGCATAAAAGTTATAAGCAGCTGAACGAATATAAAGACAAAACAAAATGTTCATTCTTGCAGCTACTGTGCATGATAAGGGGCTTCAGTTAAGGTTGCTCTCTTGTCCGAGATACAATTTAGACAACATTTTTAAAAGTGAGCAAATTTCTGTACAAACATGTGGGCAAAAAAATGGGATTATTTTCCTATATTTATTCTAGTGCGTGATCTTTCAGTTTGAGTGCATGACTTATTGATTTCACATTGTTATGCTTCCCTTAAAACCCTGCCCTCGCACTCAAACAGACCCTGCTTGCGCTTAGATTTGCTCTTCTCAAACCATTTGCTTGCACTCAGATATTGTTCTTGCACAGATTTCCTGTGCACCAGCTTCAGCTCTTCTCCTCGCGCTCAGGCTGTTTCTGTGTGCTTGTGAAACATTTACTCTCAGATTTCTACTCCGCTCTAGGACTGTTTGTGCATAACCAGTCAAAATCCTCAGTAAAAGGCCAGGTGTATTTTTGACCAGTGAAATGATCCCTGCCTCGTGCTGGCATGTTGCTTACATCCTAGAGCGTCCCATACGGGGCGTTGCTTTCTTTACAACCTTTGCAGTACAAGCATGGGTATTACGTTGCTTGGCCAACTGAATCCCATTTTATTCCACAGGGACTTTAGTAGAACCTGACATCTGAGCTGGGCCAACATGGCTCCTATCCCTATTTTCTAATCCAAAATCCGGCTT